CACATTGCTCAATCCCAGGAGAAGGCGAACTCTCTCGCAAAGGTTGCGTGCCAGGCAAATTTCACACGATGAATTTTACGATTTAGTGTGTCAGAGTACCCTTTCGAGTTGGCAAACCGATTGGAACACTGGAAATCTTGCCGGTGGTTACATTCAATTATTCCTAATGTTTCTTCGAGAGCGTTGTTTAAAGGCTTGGACTTAAGTCGTGATGAGTAGACTTATGTCTAATCACTACTCGCTATATGTGCATCTCCATAGAATAAACCTCGTAGACAGTAACATCTGTCGGTGTGGAAACGATTACGATGACATCGATCACGCAGTTTGGTAATGTTCGAATAATGACGCCGCCAGAGAGCTTTTGAAATCCCTCGAGGTCCGAGTAAGACAACCCTATATCCCTATCAGAGACGTGTTGGGAACCCGCGATCTCTGCTATATGCAGTCGATTAGTCTTTCTTAATCTAGCGCAGTTTAGCACCAAACGGAATGCTATTATTACTGATAGCTTCAAAATTTATTTACCTTTCCGTACGTACTGTAATATTTGATAAAAAGAAACCAATCGTTGAGGTATTGTCAAAAGTCTAACATTGCTTCTTGACGCCAAACTCGGCATACAGATTCTAAACTTGGCCTAACCCAACAAACAATTGAGAGCTCTTATAAAACACCTGAGTTGATCAAACGTTGGATAATAGCTTCCAGAGTTGAACAAGAATGTAGTTGTATTGCCATTTGATTAAAAGTTTTAAAAACTGTTGGAGCACTCTTAAATGATTGTTTACGTTCGGTTTAACTATATGCTTTATAAGACCTACGATAACTTTTATAGCACCTTAGTTAAACTGATTCACAAGAGCTATACAAAACGTGGAATAAACGCATCAAAACAAACCATTGGGAGCTCTTATAAAACACCTGAGTTGATCAAACGTTGAATAATAGCTTCCAGAGTTAAACAAGAATGTAGTTGCATTGCCTTTTTGGTGAGAAGCTTCAAAAGCTGCTTGGAGCACTCTTAAATGATTGTTTACGTTCGGTTAAACTGTTTGACAGGAGCCATATAGGATGTGGAATAAACGCATCAAAACAAACCATTGGGAGCTCTTATAAAACACCTGAGTTGATCAAACGTTGAATAATAGCTTCCAGAGTTGAACAAGAATGTAGTTGTATTATCTTTTTGGTTAGAAGCTTCAAAAGCTGCTTGGAGCACTCTTAAATGATTGTTTACGTTCGGTTTAACTATATGGTTTATAAGAACTACGATAACTTTTATAGCACCTTTATTAAACTGATTGACAAGAGCTATATAGAACGTGAAATAAACGCATCAAAACAAACCATTGGAAACTCTTATAAAACATCTGAGTTGATCAAACATTGAATAATAGCTTCCAGAGTTGTACAAGAATGTAGTTGTATTGCCATTTGGTTAAAAGCTTCAAAAGCTGCTTGGAGCACTCTTAAATGATTGTTTACGTTCGACCAACTACCAACCACAATTTTGTTGCTAAAAATAGCACAAGTGATAGGCACGTTTATATGACCATAAGGCAATGATTATTCGACTGCAAGAGAAGTCACTCAAGATGAGCTTCATATGCTTCTCTCATATGATCAAAATATGTATTCAAGAATAGAGCAGATGGAAACAGAAGCGGCTGGCAATCCGGGATCATGAGTTCGAATCTTGCTTCGAGAAACCCTCGGTGGAGTAGAGGTAAATTATATATAGGTGTGTTATTATTAATAAATGCAAACATTAATTTAAGACATATGTCATATAATCAACGATAACATTTCTAGATAAATTCTCTCAATTAATGATTAGAGAGATTAATTGAAAGAATATCAATCAAAGATTAAACAGATGCTTGTTACTACTTCCTCCATGATCACAGAATGTGAATTATGGCATAATTACATATTTTTTCAATGTGCACAAATAAATTAAATTAATAAAAACTGTACAAGCAATTATTTTGGCGTACCACGACAATTGTTAAACTAATTTTAATCTGTGAATATTGTGAGTACTTACACAACGGTTATTAAGGAGTCATTAAAAAGTGCTATAAACGCTTTTCACCGCTTGCTGTATAGTGATTATTTAGGAGTCATAAAAGAGTGTAACAAACGCCTCTCAGGTTCAATCTCTAATACATTTCGAAGCAGCTGTTAGGAGGTGTCTACAAACGTTGTATTAGAGCTTTCACCAAAATAATAAAGCTTGAGTTTAAATATGTATCTATAAACGTTGTATAAAAGTTGCTTCTATCCGGTTGTTAAGGAGTTATTGAAAAGTGTTATAAACGCTTTTCACCGCTTGCTGTACAATGATTATTTAGGGGTCATAAAAGAGTGCAACAAACTCCTCTCAGGTTTACTCTTTACTAAATTTCAAAGCAGCTGTCAAGAAGTGTCTACAAGCGTTGTATAAGAGCTTTCACCAAATTAAACGTTGTATAAAAGTTGCTTCTATCCGGTTGTTAAGAAGTCATTGAAAAGTGCTATAAACGCTTTTCACCGCTTGCTGTACAATGATTATTTAAGAGTCATAAAAGAGTGCAACAAACGCCTCTCAGGTTTACTCTCTACTAAATTTCAAAGCAGCTGTCAAGAAGTGTCTACAAACGTTGTATAAGAGCTTTCACCAAAATAATAAAGCTTGACTTTAAATATGTATCTATAAACGTTGTATAAAAGTTGCTTCTATCCGGTTGTTAAGGAGTCATTGAAAAGTGTTATAAACGCTTTTCACCGCTTGCTGTATAGTGATTATTTAGGAGTCATAAAAGAGTGTAACAAACGCCTGTCAGGTTCAATCTCTAATACATTTCGAAGCAGCTGTCAAGAAGTGTCTACAAGCGTTGTATAAGAGCTTTCACCAAAATAATAAAGCTTGACTTCAAATATGTATCTATAAACGTTGTATAAAAGTTGCATCTATCAGGTTGTTAGGGAGTCATTGAAAAGTGCTATAAACGCTTTTCACCGCTTGCTGTACAATGATTATTTAGGAGTCATAAAAGAGTGCAACAAACGCCTCTCAGGTTTCCTCTCAACTAAATTTCAAAGCAGCTGTCAGGAAGTGTCTACAAACGTTGTATAAGAGCTTTCACCAAAACAATAAAGCTTGACTTCAAATATGTATCTATAAACGTTGTATAAAAGTTGCTTCTATCCGGTTGTTAAGAAGTCATTGAAAAGTGCTATAAACGCTTTTCACCGCTTGCTGTACAATGATTATTTAAGAGTCATAAAAGAGTGCAACAAACGCCTCTCAGGTTTACTCTCTACTAAATTTCAAAGCAGCTGTCAAGAAGTGTCTACAAACGTTGTATAAGAGCTTTCACCAAAATAATAAAGCTTGACTTTAAATATGTATCTATAAACGTTGTATAAAAGTTGCTTCTATCCGGTTGTTAAGGAGTCATTGAAAAGTGTTATAAACGCTTTTCACCGCTTGCTGTATAGTGATTATTTAGGAGTCATAAAAGAGTGTAACAAACGCCTGTCAGGTTCAATCTCTAATACATTTCGAAGCAGCTGTCAAGAAGTGTCTACAAGCGTTGTATAAGAGCTTTCACCAAAATAATAAAGCTTGACTTCAAATATGTATCTATAAACGTTGTATAAAAGTTGCTTCTATCCGGTTGTTAAGGAGTTATTGAAAAGTGTTATAAACGCTTTTCACCGCTTGCTGTACAATGATTATTTAGGGGTCATAAAAGAGTGCAACAAACTCCTCTCAGGTTTACTCTTTACTAAATTTCAAAGCAGCTGTCAAGAAGTGTCTACAAGCGTTGTATAAGAGCTTTCACCAAAATAATAAAGCTTGAGTTTAAATATGTATCTATAAACGTTGTATAAAAGTTGCTTCTACTCCTATACCGCTGTATAATGCTGTAGTTGAACAGGTTCTCCAAACCAGTGTAAACAAGAGTTTTACAGAAGTTGTAATAAACAAATTGTACAGTTATTATTCAGCATGCAGTTGAATACAATCACAATGGAAGCGTTTCTTCAACAAGAAATTGATTTTGGGTAAACGTTTTATTGAATACGTTAGACAACACCTTTGTGTTGCAGTTGTATAGGTTCTCCAAACCAGTGTAAACAAGGGTTTTATAAAAGTTGTGGTGAACACATTGTGCAATTATTATTCAACATGCAGCTGAACAAAATCAAAACGAAAGCGTTTCTTCAACTGGAAATTGTTACTTGGGAACGCATTGAAACTCCATTGAAACGCCAATGAATTCACTTCGGCCTATCGGATGAAGATAAAAATTGTTTCGGTCGGAGCGCTTCTTTTGTTTTTCGGGAATTATGGGTGCAAACTTTCATATCACGCGTTTTTATTGACTTCGTTCAGTAGCTTATTAACTAAAGTATCATACCAAAAGCATAATTGACTTGTTAACTCTGAAATCATGGATTTATTTGAAGTTTTCTGCTCGGTAGGCCCAAAATGGGCGATTAGGCCGAAGTAGTTCTCTACCCTATAAGAATTTAATTAGTTTGTCTTTTGTCTCTCTTTATAAGTTTTTGTTTGTCTTGTCCCCCGTCTCGCTGAGTCTCATCGTCGCCCACCATAGACGACCGAACTCCAGACGAATCTAGAACCGCACTACCGTTCATACTGGCAACAACACTCTGATGAGACAACGAAACCCCACCCCCAAGATACTCTCGTGATCCTTCCCTTCGACAATGTACCCCTCTAACCTCGTGTAAGCCGCGAGTATTCGGCCAAACTCCTACTAGACATAGAAACAAGTTAATTTTGTTACAAACTATGTACATTGAACTATCGGCTCCGTAAAGCTAACGCGATTTGGAAGGCTCAACAAACGAACTAGATAAAAAAAAAGTTACATTTTTCAAGGCTCGGGATGACTTTTTGATTTGAGGCAAGATGCTTAGATGTTAAAATAAGAGCGTGTGATGATGATGATCATGAGCATGAAAATGGTAGCAGTCCTCAGTCCCATTTATTATCCCCATTCGCTCTCAATCTGTGAGGTGGAATGATTTGTGAGTAGGAATTCTACTCATCAGAAATGCTACGCTCAGCTCATTTCAGACTCGTGACTGAGGCTCCATAAACCAGCTTTAGTCGAACCCATAGACTGTGAATTTGTGGTATCGTTTGTTTAAGGAAAATTTCTTTTTTTTCTTTTCAATACATTTATGCTAAAAGTATATCTATTTTTATTTCAATCCGCTTTTATATAGATTCTTAGAAACTTGTTACATATTTGCGATAACACTTCAAATATTAAATTCAGTATAATTCAATGCTTACAATATTGTGGTATAAAAATTTTACATTTTAGTTTGACGTTATGCTTAAGTGCCTGTTTTGTATTCTGTAAATAATGTTATGAACGCTCTTGACACAAACTTCACTGTTTACATTTGTAAAGCTGAAGTACAGCACAATTTAGATTTATTGGTAATTTTAACGCTGCAAATTTTGCATATCCTCATCATTCGTTGTAGTATGCATAAAACCTTGTACGCTCCACTGGCTGGTTAAGTAGGAGAGTTCTTGCGCGTCGTTAATCAGCCGATTGTAAATGTATGACTGCATGTCATCTGGAGCAGGCGGTTCATATCTTGGAAAAATAATCATAAAAACTAGAGTATGTGCGATCAGTTAAAATTTGGACCTATCAATGGATAAATGTAAATGGTTATGCTACTCCAAATAAATAATCTATATTGAAGTCTTATGGGGGTATGCTCCAGCAGCATGTGTTAAAGGCAAGATTGATAGAATCCACAAATACCACTATCATCCCTATTTCTACAAGATAAATCAGCCATGACAACGGCCATTTGTGGATTTTATCAACCTTGTCGTTAACCAGATTCAAGAGATGAACTAGCCTACGGCTAAAAATCTTTATAATAAAGTTAAAAAAAAAAAGTTGACCAGATTGATTTACTTCGATATTGACACCATTCCAACTGGAAAAACTAGGTGGGGATTTTTGTTGTCTTCAGTATCGAGATTTTTAGCAACAGACAGGTTCACTTTAAATTTAAGGATTTGTTCCAAGAATAATACCGCTTGGAGAATTCCACCATTAAACTGCCGTGAGATGTAACAAAGTGACGCAAACGACACAATGGTCGATTTTATCTTTTCACCTTCTAGGGAAATGCATGAGATCTTAATCCCACTTTTGAATGAACCACGGTCAAGCGGTTTTGGGTGATTTTCTACCAACAATTTCAAAAAACTGAACCAACAAACTACTATTTTTTTAAAAGTCACAAATTTTGGCTACTTTTCTCATGGTTCTTGCCGAAAAAAATCTCAAAATATTGTTCTAATTCGAAGAAAATGATAGTAAACATTTTTTCGAACAGCTCAAATAAAATGATTAATTAAATGTTACGGACTCCAATAAATTGGGGGTAAAGGCTAGGTTGAGAATTAACGTCTATTTACTTCGGAGGCAGGAACAGTTCTGAAAGTAGACTTCGACTTTATGTGGTTGCTATGGAACATCTCTCCTTTAAAAAGGTCGTAAGGTAAGAGCCACGATAGAAGTGTTCGGTTTAGAATGATTGGTAGATACTGACACAATGTCTTAATAACGCCTTCAGGTCCTGTTATCACAATGTCTTGAACACCTTATCTCTTGCTGATATCTCTTCTTCAATGAGTCGTCAATCTCATCAGGGCCGAATTTACATGTTAAACTCCTCAAGCAGCACGATCCATGGTAAATGCTGACTTGGCTCAGTAGCTTTGCTAGCGTATTCCAGATAACGCTAGTCTTAGTTGATAAATGTGAGAGCGGATAAGACGACATTTTTCCAGAAGAACACTGTAATTGACGGAACCTTTTCTCTCAATTACCTTGCCAGGAACGCAGGAAGTTTCATTGCGATAGTGAATCTCAACATACACCAAATCTTCAGCGAAAAACTCTCTCTTGACGTTGCGATGGCGTCGATTGATTAGGTTATTCTACATGCATTTCACAGCTGTTGTCGTTAATTCACATCACAAGGTTTGAGCAAATCCTGGCTCTAACTACGAAAAGCTCTGCAGGAGGTTTGCCATCAGGTACAATCCGGTGGGGTGTCAACATCGGTCGAAAGAAAAGATTGAAGATGTTGGAAAGTTGCTGTGTTTCCTCCTTTTCGTAACTTCTTAAGTTCTCTTTTTAAGTGCCCGCAAAACGCTCAGCCTGTCCATTCAACTATGGATTATAAGGATAAATTGTTAAGTGTGTAATTCCATTTTTAACGCAGAATTGCTTGCAGTGTGCGTGTGGCAAACAGTTGCATTTAAACAATCTTCGATGAGTGTTAATACTTTGACTATGCATCAGAAAAGTCGAGTTGGTAGAAATGCCAAGTTGCCGGCGTGTAGTGGTAAGCGTGACTGCTTTCTAACACCCCGATGGGTCTGGGTTCAAACCCAGCCGAGGTCGGTGGGATTTTTCTGAGGCATAAAAATCTCTGGTCACGTCTTCCTTCGGAAGGGAAGTAAAGCCGTTGGTCCCGGCCCATGTGTGTTGAATGGGTGCGATATCCTACGCAGGTGTGGAAGCTGCCTTCCTGCACATTCGATTGCCGTCAATCGATGGCAATCGATGTCCGTCGGTGATTGGCACTAGATTGCGGAACAGAGACCGACGTTAAATAAAGGAAAGAAAGAAGAGAAATGCCAAGAGCTTGCCAGATCAGCATAAATGTCAACTGGATGCGGAAGTGGGTAAGCATCTGACTTTAGCGCGTTGTTTAGCCTCGTAGAATAATCGTCGCAAAACGAACAGAAATGTTCTCCGGATCTCCGGAACACGGCCCAGTCGGTAAATTTCACTGGCGAAATTATTGCTTCTTCTTGAAGTCGTTGAATTTCGGCTTTAAAGCGCTGCATAAGTAACCGGCCTTTTTGGTCATCGACGCACATCGTGCTTCAAGAAGAGTTTTACTTTCGCTTCAATGCATCGACCAAGTGAACTCTGGAACACTTCAGGAACTTCGCACGACACTTTTGGACAATGTCTTCCGGATTCTGATGAAATGCGTTTTCCAATTAGTTTTTTTTCTTGATTTGTTTTTCCGTCGATCTTGTTTTCCGTGCTGAGCACCACGAGGCAGCTCCCACATCTGGACCCTACCTATCGACCCATCAACTCATGAACCGGGGACGAACAGCTTTACTTCCCTTCCGAAGGAAGCGGTGATCAGAGATGTTATGGCTCAGAACATCCCGGCGGCGCCGACTGGGCCTGAACCCAGGCCTGCTGGGGTGTTCCAATGAGTTGAAAGGAATTAACCACAGATCAAATAAATGGAATGATTAAATTCCCAGGACATTCAAATCAGGATTTGATGACACATAGGCAACGCCTTCATTCGTCACACTTCGGATGGTTAATTCCGTAATGAACTCACCAATAATGTTGATCTTATCTCCGGAAGCGCTGATGGCAGTCATCTCAGTTTCCTTCACGGTTGGTTTTCCCATATTTGTGTAGAAATTATCGTGACGTGGGTAGCGCAGTCCAACTGATGAGTTGCAGCGTTGCCATTGATTCCGATAGAAACGTATTTCCTCTTCCCCTGAAGATCGAAACGCTTAACCGGAATTTCCCTCGAAATTCCTTTAGTTTTGATGAACTCCTTGGGCTTTTCGAATTTTTTTTCTAGGTTTTGATTTTGATTCCGCAGTAGACAGTACCTTTCTTTACGTACCTTTCGTTTGCACTTGATGCCGATGCGGTCGTGATAAGGACATTTCTTCACAAAGTATAAATCACTGCAAAACTAGCACAGGGATTTTGGTTTCTTTTTTAACGGGGTTCATTGAAACGGCGTTGACGACAGATTGTTCCGGAAAGGGTTTCTCTATTATTTTAATGTCCTACTTCAAATTGTTGAACCAATGGCACTTTATCTACTCAGCGTGCGTGCAGCTAAACACAGCTAAACAAAAACTTTCCTGCATCGCAGATAGAGTCGCCCCCCTCGGTATCGATCGTTTAAAAGCGAGGTATGGCGGCCATACAGTTTCTTGAGTTTCTTCACCGTTTCATCCAAGCCCAAATTGCGTGGATGTTTTGACAGGATACTGTTGATGTACCGTTCATGGACCTGGGTGTTGATTAGAGAGGGTCTTTTATGTATAAGAGAGGAGCGGATTCAAAACAAACTGCCCATGCTACACACTTGTGTAAAAAAGTTTACATAAGCATTGTATAACTGGTTTTGGTTGTATAGCACTTCACTTACCATAATTCTTTGAATTTATGTTACTTGGGTGCGTTGGCAGGTGATTTTTACCAACACTGCCAATGCAATCAAGATAGGTTCTGGCTCTGGCTTTGACAGTTCTTTTGGCTCAAAACCAGCTAGTCCGCTTCTTTTTTATACTATACCTTCGCTAGTGTAGATCATCCTCAAGAGTAATCTAACCTTCGCTTGATCGTCCAGATTCTTTTCGTAAAGTTTGAAGACATCCTCGTAGAGGGCGTACCAAGCGCCGAAGAATATCCCACCTTCAGGATCGTAGTAGAAATCTTCAATTTCCGTTGCTTTGAGAAGACTTGAGCGCACAGTATTGCTTTTTGCCGTTTTCGTGCGCTTTTTATATAATTTTTCGGCAGTAAAATATGTATAGATTCAGAATTCTTCCTAGATTTTTGCGTCAATTTGCGCAAGACATAGTTATTTGAGGAGCAAATACCCCTAAACATATTGATTATTTTAGAATAACTTTTTTGTTTCAAGAGAAAATTATGCGAAATATAGTTGTAGAAAAAACCAAAATTGTAAGATGTCTAGAAAATCAGTTATACTAAAAACATGATTTAAAGGGGCCTTTCACGAAAAATGTTACATATCTCACAATTTATAAGAGCTAGACATTTTGGATGTTCAGCAAAGTTGCTTAAAACAACATTTGCCACAACTTTATTGAAGACCTTAAGTCTCTATCTGAATCAGATAAAAAATATTTCTTCGATCTCACTTTTAGATGGATTAATCACCAAACCATCTACATCAAATGAAGCCGTTTAAAATATGCAAAAACATCTTTGAACAAACTATACACCTAAAATCAATGTTTGAGAAGCTATTAAAAAAGCGCACGAAAACGGCAAAAAGCAACACTGTGGAGCGGTACGGTTGATTAGTAAAATCTGTTCTTGATGACTGGCTACCAGTTCGGTGAGTCGAAGAATTGCGTCCTTCAAATCCTGGTTGGATATCTCAAAAAGGCTTGATGTAGATCGCGTTGAAGTGACTTAAACTTATCCTTGAGGCCAAGTGTTACGGATAAATAAAAGGCTTGGTTGAAAATTAACGCCTATTTACTTCGAAGGTATGAACAGTTATGAAAGTAGCACATTTTCTGCCAAACAGCTTAATCTTAGATCTGCGGCTTCATGTGGTAAACATTAACCAAAATATAGCCATAATTTGTAACTTTCATAAAAAATAGTAATTTGTTGGTCAAGCTTGCTGAAATCCATGGTAGAAAATCGCGCCAAAACTGCTTCACAAAGTGGTCCATCTGGACAGATGGGGCTAGTTTGTTCACGAAATCACCCGAATCTGTCAAATTCGTAAGTAGAACAAGTAACATGTCGTGTACTTCCTTATTTGAGTTATACATCTCAAAACCCAAAACACTTTTCAGGGGCAGCAATCCACACTTTTGATGAGTTCAGTTTGAAATGCAAAATACAATATTTTTAGGAAATTTTCTTTATCATTCATTACCATTCAACACAGAAAAAAAAAATTATATCGATCAACGTTATTCATATTGTTGTAAAAGCAAAAATCAGATACAATAAATAAATCAATGGATGTAATTTCGTTCGCAAAATCAGTGTACTTCGTACAACGTAAACAATATTACACAACCAGCAGAATGACGTATATGCAATTGTTGGACGGTATTTTTTTTGTGCTGTTGACAACAACTTTTTTTTCTGTGCTGTTGATATCAAAACTATATGTTCTCTGTGGATTTACGTCACTTTGTCATCTCACGGTAGTAAAATTAATCATTGAATGATGTCATAACTTACCTGTTAAGTGCATGTGAATTGAGTTGTGAATTGTTAGCATATTCTAGCGGACTTATCGGCAACTGGTATGGAATGGTTGGCGTACTAGCAGTGGTAGATGAAACATCTGTATGTATGTGTATGTGTGTTCATAAATTATTGAATAATAATTCAAGGTCTTAAAAGTAATGGAATAATTTAATACAATAATAAATCCAAAACTAATACACTGTAGAAGCTAGAAGCTCAAAACTTACTATTAGACATTGGTAGCACCCCGCTATTGAAGGTTGGTGGGTTAGGTGTTGATGGTGGTGAAGGGGAATCTAAGGATATAACTGATGGCGAAGCATCTTCTGTAAAATTCATGACAAAGTAAGTTTTAGTAAATTATTGAAAGAAAATTTGTAATATTCACCTCTATTCCCAAACGAAGAATTTCCCATTTAAAAAAATTAAGATAAATATATATAGGGTACCAGTATTGGCCATGGTCCTATTTTTGCCACCTTTTGATGATATTTCACGTTTTTTTTTTACAATATTGAAATGTTCAGTTTGTTGGAACACATCATATTCATCGGTGTACATAAACATTTC